AGAGAGAGAGAGAGAGAGAGAGAGAGAGAGAGAGAGAGAGAGAAGTCGAACGATCATCGTGGCTTGGAAGGAGAAAAATGAGAGAGGGAGAGAGAGAGGAGATAAACAGACTTATACTCACTCGTTCGCCGTGTTCGACGTATGATACAAGTTGAGATCGTGGAATACCAATTGGACCCGTTCCTTTCCCCGTCCCTGGAACTCGTACGTACAGTGCGTCCTCGGTGGATAAGGATTCGGATATCCCGGCGACGTGACCACCCCCGTCTTCGTCGTGTCGCTGTTGAGAACCATGTCGCAGAATGACGCTGCAACAGGAACGTAGGAACGATGTTAAAACGATGTTTCAAATCGGCGATAAAACTATCCTTCTTCTACCAACAATATTCACGAATCATCTCGTTCGCGAGTATCAAATTTTGAATCGTGCTTGTATACATATTCGTATATTCTATACATAGGCGTACTACTACAAATATTAATATATTTTCAGACGGAGAAAGAGAGAGAAAGAGAGAGAGAGAGAGGGGAGGGGGTCGTAAATTTCGTGCGCATAAACAGACGACTGTTTGCAGGAGCTTGAAGACGCGCATCTTCAATATATATATATATATATATATATATATATATATTGCGTCTCGAAGATACAGGTTGGAAGAAGGAAAGAAAGATTCTTTTTTCTTTTTTATTATTTATCGCGCAAGAAATTATCGGGGATATAGTTTGACGATATAGATTGTTTCGAAGCGACAATTTTAATTAATTGGCCCGGCGTTAATTACCGGACACAAAGAGTATTAATTTATTGTCCGTCTGGTTCATTGCGTTGTTTGCGTAATTAGTCGGCTGCTACTCGACGCGTGAAACGTAGACGGTGTTCAAAGGCGTGCCATGAATTTACACACGCGTTGCCGCGAGAATTGTTTCGATAGCTGATGCACAATTTTCACTCGTTTTCGCGTCTGACAAACCCTGTGATTCCCTTTCCACTTAACGGCGATCGATGGACGCGAGAAAAATTTCGAACGAATTTTGCGAACCAGAAATTTTGCGAACCAAAAAAAAAAAAAAAAAAGGAAAGTAAAAAAGAAAACAGACATTAAAAAATATTACGCGTCATTCCGTGAACGATCATCCTCGAATGCCGAAAGATACGATACGATACGATACGACGCGACACGACGCGACAAAGATTTACCGCGTGGAAAGCAAAAGGGCGAGCGAAGTGATATGTACGATGGCTCATGAATGTTGCATGACTGTTTGGATCACGGTTCCACGTATCCCGATACGCCCTCGAGATTATTAGCATATCGAAAATATTGCTCGTACTGGTCTCTCTCCCTGTTCAACCTGATCCTCTCGCCCGATAGTTGGAATAACAAGATTCTCGGACAAGATTTTTTCAAAGAATTTTTTCAATTGTTTGAATAGATAAATGTATATTATTACCCGTCGACAAAGGAAAGCAATAACAGACACAAAGAGAGAGAGAGAGAGAGAGAAAAATTGTCTCGTTTTTAATATTCTTCGCCTTTTCAACTCGACGAGAAATAAAACGAAAATATATTTACATCCGGCTCACGATAAATTCCACGATAACTGGGTTACCATGGAGAAGCAGCGTTGCCGACTTGCCGCCGCGATTACGGCGCGGTGTTTCGCTTCGTTAGCGGTCAATTCCCGGGGAAATGGAGGATTGCATAAGCAATCGAGCGACCCACGCCACAGTGGGTCCCGCGTTGGTCAACGAAAAACGCGAGAATTCCCTCCCTCCGTTTGTCCAGCGATTCGTTAATTCGCCCGTTTCGCAACCGAGTGAAATTAATGAGCCGGCAATCCTCCCTCCCCCTCGAGTCAACGGGGAAAAATTTTTCGGACAAGTTTTCGGCTCGGGACAAGTGGGGAGTGGGAGGGTGGTGCCGTAATTGAATTGAATCGCGGCTAAGCGAGTATTAACTCGCATTCGAGCATGGGTAACGCGGTCACGGCCCGAAACTGAACGAAAAAAGATCGTGGGCTCGAGTGAACGTGCACGTTAAGAGAGTTCCTCTAAGGAAATAGTTCCTCTATGAAATTCGGGGGCCAATTTCGGGGGATCGGCCTCGTTCCACCAGGCTGGTCCCTCTTTTCTCTACGCTCCTTTCCGCCCCAATAAAAACGCGGAAGCTTTGGGGGAAAAAAGGAGGCGGAGGAGAGGGGGAATGAAGAAGGAGGAGAAAGAACGAAAGAAAAATAGGGGGGAGGCGAGCGGACGCTTGTTTACCGCGCGTTCATTATTTAGGCCTTGCGCGAGGGGAGAGGAGGCTTATCGACTTTTGAACACCCGTTCAGTTTATACGTCGGGTCGAATAACGAGGGGACGATGGAGGGGGAAGGGGACGGGGGTAAACGTTTTAATTTGCATTCATGAGCCGTCTTGTGAAAATTCTTAGGAGACCACGTTCAAAGTATTCCAAGTACGTCCTCTCGGGTTATATTCCAAGGGACGAATTCACTTATGACGATCGATGCGTCTACTTTCAAGAATATGCCCCCCTTCGGGTTAAGTCTAATGTATTCGTCGAGTGGCCGGTACGGATCAGGTGAAGGAGGAGAGACGGAGTTTAATATCGAGAGAAGTTAACAAGCGAGAAAGAGAGAGTTGCTCTTGTTTCATGTTTATCTTCGAAATTATCGTGTATAAAACGAAGCGTTTTTTCTCCCCCCCTTTCGATTTTCTTCTCTTCTATCGAGTTTATAAATCGTTCCAACAATCGTGTCGTTGAACTTTGTTATTGAACGTTGCTAAGAAGAACGTAAGAAAAACTAATGATCTTTATGTTGGATGATCGAGGAGGATCTCGAGATTTGGGCAAGGAATTAAAAATTTTGTGTTACTTTTTTCGTTCGTTTCGATGCCGAGATAAAGATGGAGAATTTATGAATGGATCCATTTTTGTACATCCTTTTCCTTTCGGGAATCGAAATGTTTGTCCTTTTAGATCGGCGAAACGAGAGATTATAAAGGAATTATATTAAGATATATATGTTGATTGGAGAAATATCGCAACTTATAATTCCTGACACGTGATTTACTTTTTTTAATCGCATCCTTATTATTTTCCTTTGCCCCGTTTATTATAAACAGATTCAAACTTTTCGTATCGCGCATTATTAACGGATATTATTAATGGAAATAGCGTTTAATCAGATTGATGCCAGATTAAATATCCATATTTGCCAATATATTATTCGTGCGCCTCCTTTTCGAAAATTTCACCGTATTTTCCTCTTTTAAATAATTTACCATATTTCCTATCCTCGCGCACATCCTCTTTTTTTTCAATCGAGAATCGAGTATTTAAACAAAAGGAAAAAAAGTAGAAAGAAACACGGAACACGATTCGAAATAATATCTTGGAACCTCGTCAAATGAACGCAATTAATTCCACGCCCGCAATCGAATCTTGGTACGGGTGGCGAAGGGCTAATTAAAATCTCGTTCGTCGAAATTTTCATATAAACGCGCGTATATACACATATATCACATATATATATATATACACACGTTTCTCGAAATTTAATCGCGCTTCATTCTCGTTTTACGCTACGCGCATTCCCTAAAACCAGCGTGGAAACTCGTGCTCGCGAAATTTCAGTTTACCAGTCAAATTTCGTTGGAGCCTTGTCAGCTATATCGCCAACCTCAACCCACCTCTCCCTCCCAACCGCTCACCCTAGCGCGTGAAAAAGGAAGTTCCGAAAAGCATTGGAATTCTCCCCTCTGTCATACACTCGGCCGAGCAATTTCGTAAACTCTTGTACTCGCGGGGAGGTTAAATTGCACGTCCACGCAACGGCGACGCGACGCGACTCGACTCGACGCGACGCGACGCGTTGGCGGAATTGTTTCAACCTCGTTTCGCTCGTCGAATCCGATCGCATGCGCGCGTCGAAAAAAGTTACGCGATTGGCGCGCAAGAAAAGCGTTGACGAGCGAGACCGTGGCGCCGCAATTGCGGATCTCCGCCGTATTAAACCGAGGACGACCGAGTCAGCACAGTACGCCGTGTATTAATAATTTCTAACCGAGGTTAGACGGTGGGGGGAGGGGGAAGAGGAGGCGGAGTTCGAAGTTTGGCGGAATTAATTTGAACGCCATTTGCTGGTCGCGTCTTGCCCAACCGGTAACCGGCCAAGTAACCGAGTAGACGTAATTCCGTGGATTCGAAGCTTATGTATCCCTCCCCTCCTCTTCTTCCTCTCTCCTCACTGATCGCGCGACCCATGTCCGCTATTACGCTCAGCAGAATCGCCGCCGCCGCTCGTGAATATCCCGTTCCGTTTCGGTAATGCAGCTTCTAGTATTTTCTTGCGTATTTCTGCATTATTCACGCGCGGTCTCCACCGATTTCTTCGTCGCTCTTGCGAGTGAAAGCCAGAGAAAGAGAGTATCATATGTACATATATATATATATATATATATACACACCTTTTCCTAGCAACTTTTCGCCAGGAAATCTCAGTCGCTTCTTGCTAGACGAATATTTGTCAACGAGATTCTATCGATGTTTAAGAATTCGAGGAATGGGGGAAAGGAGGGAGAGGTGAAAAGATCGTATGGGAACGGGAGACGAAAATACGAGGAGATATATAGTTTGAAAAATTGTTGTTGGCTGCATAGTCGCGGCGGAAGTTTGAGAAGATTTTTAAGAGGAGAAAAATTTGAGGGGAGAAAGATTTCGCCACGATTCATCTGACGGTGATTGCGTTATGCGATCACTCGTCATTGATCGTTTACATTAATTTTGCGTTTCGCGTTTGGACGAGACGATGAGCCGGCCGCGAGTTGGCGTTGCGATCGATATTATAACGATCGAAAAGCGACGATTGGAGGATAATGAGAAGAGAAAATTATATTTTTAATAATATCGCGATGCAATTCTATATATTTATCGTATTCAAAAATACTAAAATAAATTCGAAAATAAAAAAACGTCATTTTTGACGTCGATGAATTTTAATTTCGAACAGCCGTATGAAATTTATTTATTTCCCTTAAATACGAGATATTATCGCGTAATTAAGATGTTAACGAATCGTATCCGAGCAGACAGAAAATTTACGATTACGTTACTTTCGCCATGCGTCGCTTAATTGCCGGCCGAAAATGCGTGTCCCCTCTCCCCCCTTTCCCCCCCCCCCCCTCCAATAAAATTCTCGTATATTCCATTCACGCATAACAGAACAAATTGCCTCAAAGTATGATGTAAATGTAATTATTTCACCTTACAAAAGCGTCCATTGTCGGTAACGATATCCAGGA